GTCCCCTTCCTTATGTTTTGATATACTGTCTCTTTTCATTTCGAGAACAATTGTACTTTTCTTTCTAGACTAGTGTTTGTAGACATTCGTAGATGTTCGTGAAATTGTGACACCAGATTCTTGGGTAGACATGTATTGGAGTATAGCTTTTGTTATAACACTTCTGCGCTTTATATATGTTCAGTTTTAGTTACTGTTTGTCTCTGTTTAGGTTGATTGCTAATGTGTTAAAATCATAGTAGTTGGCTTGCCTAGCTTTCACGAGTAGGCGCCATTACGACTCCCGAGGGTGAGAAATTCGGGTCGTGACAAAGTTATCCCGGGATTAAAATTAGTACCGGGATAACTTATACCTTGTAGGGGGTGGGGTAGTTAGTTTCGGGATAACTTATACCTTCTTGTTAGAAATTATGCAATTGTCATTTTTAATACAAAATACCAAACAGTGTATAAAAAATAATACCAGGATAACTAATCCCAACATAACTAATCCCAATATAATTTATCCCAGCATAACTTATCCCAGCATAAGCAATATTCAAACCTAATGACCACTGTGAATGCAAGTTATTAGTTACTACTACTTTTACTTCACTTCATACTCATCAGAAAAATTTACTAATAATTACCTTATAAAAGACTTGATGAAAAAAACCTAAACAAATCTAGTGTTATACAAACTCAATAAACACATAACATATGTTTTTACATGAACTGTTAGTCGCACTTAACCATAACATTTTCACCTCAATTATATCTCTAACTATAGCAAGTTAATATTGTTTGATGTAAATATTAGATATTGATAAAAACAATTGTAATTTGATTGTGTAAATATTTTTTACAGTTTTTTTCACGTCCTTTTTGTTTTGTTGTTTATTTATAACAGCACTGTATAAGTTTGGGATTTTTATACAAATAGCCGGCCACATTCATTATTTACAAGTATTTCGAAAGTGGTGGTTTAATTGGAGTAGCCCATCATGCATTTGTTGGGTGGAAATGACATCAGGTAGCCACTTTTAAGCATGTTGTTTAAAATAAATCCACAGTTTACAATGTATTCAAAGATTAGCCAATTCACTCAAACTTCAGGACACCACGTCCTAGAGTTTAAACCTCAAAGTTTAAACTTAGGACATCGTGTCCTAAAGTTCAAAAATTATGTCCCGAAGTTCGAATCTTGTGTTCTGAATTTTAAATTAATAGTTCAGAAATTCAAGACACTTAGTCCTGAATTTCAAATTAGCAGCTCAAAAGTTCAAGACACTTTTTCCTGAATTTTCAAAATAAGGATACCTAATCTTGAAGTTTGGATGAATTGACTAATCTTTAAATACATTTTAAACCGTGAATATCTTTTAAACAACGGGCTTAAAGTGATTATTGGTGCACTTCATCCATTTGTTGGACTTGAAGAACATCAACATTGGGAGAAATTAAAAAATAGCCAGATTTACAAGTGGTCATTCAAAAATAGCCACAGTTTCAAAAGTAATCGAAATTTAGCCACATTTCATGTAAAGATAAATCTGAACGAAAACACTGTTCAAAATCCAGAAAAATACTGCAGTATATTATACTGGAACTTTCCGCGTGTTGGAGCTCTATATGCTGGAAGTTCATACATAGGTGCACCGATCTCCAGTATATTATGCTGGAAATTTCCGTGTTGCAGCAAAATAGTGACTATTTTTCAATGACTTTGCAAATGCTGGTTATTTTTGAATGACCAGTTCGAAAACTGGCTAGCCCATACTATTTTTACCCTATTATCCGTCCACTGCACACCATCCCGTTATGTATCAGTGGTAATGGTCCACCTTGGAAAGCTCACGCTTATGATACACATATATCATACTGAATGTCGTTAAATTGCACATTTCTTTTTGTCTTTTCTCTCTATTCTTTTCATAGTTTGCATCATAAGGTTGCATATATATATATATATATATATATATATATATATATATATATATATATATATATATATATATCTGGAGAATTAACTTTTGTAAGAAAAGATTCGGTTGGTCTCTAGGAGTGACGTCTTTTTCCAAGTAAAAAATTGCAACCAGTACCACAACATTCATAGCATGTCTGATTTTTACCACAAATTTGGAAAGACATTTGAAATTTAAAAATCGAGACGAGAAAGGGCATAGAAGCACAAAAGGAATTAACTGTGAGGGTTTTACCAAGGAATGGGCCTATGCATCCCAATTACCCTGTGGGCTTATCTTTTTAGAACCAGTATGCAACTAGTGGGGTTTGGTATTGGCTGCATAATTCTTTCACTGCACCTAATTCTTTCAGCCTAGCCCAATCAAGCTCAACAAGTGCATGAGACAGAAAGGCGATCTTTACACAAATAACCGATGGATTCAATGTTTACTTGCTCTAGGTGATATACGTAGATACATATACTATACATGCGGTAGGTATTTTTAATTTAAGTGGTTGATTGGGTGACTATTTAGGTTAATCCTTCGATAGAAATATTATACGTTAAAGTTGTTTAGAATGAGCCTAGTGCATATCAACTTTTTAAGCTCGAAACACATAATTGGAGTTGGCTCAAGCACACAAGATAAGCACGCCACCCACCTGCTTGTCTTGCGGATCGAACTTAGTCAATGTTGTTGGGAGATAAATATGTCTTGTCGTTAGAAATAAATTCTTATTGGAGGTAATCTTATTTTTTTCACATTAATTTCCCACAAAAATTAATATGAGCATCAAGGTTTACTTTTTGCTAGTTTTTATCTGATTTTTCCTGTATATATGTACCTTGTCAACCTTTTGAAACTACTTTCCTTTAGATGTAAGTGTACTGAAATTTACACTTCACTTCTCAATATGAAAAGCTTACATGGGCCAGTGTTTGGGCCTACTGGACTTCTGTAACTGCTTGAACTCTCCACGGCCCATATGTCACAGGCCATCGATCCAGTTAATCAAAGGAATTTTTATATTCTTATACACTATATGAAACTATATTACCTTCCTTACTCAAGTTTTACTATAATTATATTTTATATACCCAATTACTATTTATTTACATTTTAAGGGAATTAATGATAATAATTAGTGTCCTAAAATCACTCTAACGTATTTTCCACTCCCCTCACGTTTCTCTCTCCACATCCCACCCCCTCCCCCACGTATCTTGCACAAGAGAGCAGTAATTCCACCATTGACAACCATTAAAAAGCTTTTGAAGCTTTGAATTCGAATTTGGGTTTTAAAAAAACATTATTTGTTGGAATTGGGTGTTGTTCCAAAGAATTGAGAATTCTCTCTACGTCTCTCTCTATCTCTCAATCCCCGATTTCAATAATGTAAAGCAAAGGAAAAGAGAGCAGCAATTCCACCATTAACATCCATTAAAAAGCTTTGAAGCTCTGAATTCGAATTTGGGTTTTCAAAAATCATTATTTGTTTGGATTGGGTGTTGTTGCAAACAATTGGGAATATGGTTTGGAGTTTATATCTCAAATTTGAGGGTGTTTTGGTGAAGATTAGACTTGATTTTGGCTGAATTTCAGATTGAAACTCGAAGAAGAAGAAGAAGAAGAAAACATGATATACATTATATTTACGAAATTGTAGTAACATTATAGAAAAATTATATTATGTTGTTTATATATATATATATATATATATATATATATGAAAGTCGAACAATATTGTATAAAAGTTATATTTAAGTTGTATGATATTGTAGTTGTATATAACTGAGTAGAAATAATGTATGAAAATTGTAGATAAGTTGTATAATATATAATTAGTTGTATTAAATTTATTTTTACTATGTATAAATCAGATACAAAATATACAAAAGACATATTGTATAAAATTTTTATTTAAATTGTATGTTATTATAATTGTATTTAACTGGGTAGAAATAATGTGTGAAAGTTGTAGATAAGTGTAGATAAATTGTATAATATATAATTAGTTGTATGAAATTTATTTTTACTATGTATAAATCAGATACAAAATATACAAAAAATATATTGTATAAATTTTGTATCAAATTTGTATTTAAGTTGTATGTTTTTGTTCCATCTCCTCTTTATCATATACAATTTGTCTCTCCCTTTTATCAAAATTACCTTAAATTTGTCTTTCCTTAAAACCACCACTGCCACCCTTACCGGCGAAATTCAGACCACCAGCGATTACCTTTTTCTTTCCCTTGCCTTCTTCTTTCTTCCTCACATATATAAAACCCATTTCTTTCAGATAACCTACTTCTATAGCCATTGACTTTTAATGTAGGCGTTAGGCTATGATATTGATGCTGATGATTATCACAGGTGAGATATGTTCAGAAAAACTGTATAGTTTGACTCCCTAATTCCTCAATTTTGAATGATTTTATTTTTTAAAAAAGCGATATTTTTTTTGAGATTTTTTTTTGTTTCTTCCTGAACAGCTACGTGCACGGAAGATTGCCGTATGAATTGATTAAATAGGATGCTCAATTAAGAAGCATCTTGCGTAGTATTAATCAAAGGAAACTTGTAAGTTATAGAAATGGATTCAAATTGCGATCTATTGATTGAGGATGATGATTGATAAGTAATATGTTTGTGATTGATTAAGAAGTAAATGTGTAGATTTTCAGGAATTCGGATCGAATTCATGCGATAAAGGCACTGGATCGGGCGTTTAATGAAGGAGTCTAATGGCAAGGTGGATTGTATATATTTTGTAAACAAAGCTTGTTTATGCCGAGTAATTAACTAAACGTGGACATTGAAGATAATAAAGTTTCAAATAGTATATAGGAATGAAAATATCCCTTAATGAAAAGGCCACAACTTTCAAAAGCAAAATATCATCAATATTTTTTTTTCAAATAATATATAAATTATCCTAACACAAAACATACACAGAGACATATATCTTAATAACCATAAAAATAGCTCATTATCTCCTCATAAAAGTTTATGGAGGTTCCAATTAGTGACTTTTCACAATATAAGCTAGGATAACAATTCAATCTGCACTGAGTTAAACATAGGAAATTGTAATATTGACTCAAAAGAGAACAAGGAAATGTTCAAGATTATATTTGATCAAACAGGGAACATAATGCTTAGCTTAGCTTTAGAATAAACAATGCATAAATCATCTTTATTTGTGTGGCCCGTTGTAGCAACAGCCGGAAAATATGTCGTCAACCTTGTGCCGCTGCTGTATCTGCTACAACCATTTCTCTACGACGTTTGAAATAAGCTAGCATTGCATCCTGATCTGGGGTATTTTCTTTGATTACAGGGACTTGCTTAAAGTTATGTATCCAAGCATCTAAACGAGGAAAACTAAGTGAGTCGACGACCTTTACCTCAGCAGCTTCTTGTATGACTTCCAGCCATAACGCTATCCAGCCGAAGACTATGTCAGTTAATCCAACTGTGTCTCCACCAAAATACTTCTTCTCTCCAAGACCTTGCTTCTCTATAATTTTCAACATTTCCTTGGCTTTTTCAGTTGCCTTGGTTTGCTCCTCCCCTATCTTGTGAAATATTGCAAAAAATTCGGGGCTCTATATTAAATAGAAATAACATGTTACTTGTTGTTACAGGCCTATAACAATTACATAAATTTCATCCATATCTAACAACTTAAAATTTTTCTAAATAAGGTAGTTCACACAGTTCAATATAAAAGCTGAGTTCAAGTCTCATTGTTGTGACATATGAACAAAATTTGAAAAATGAATTAAGCCTACCCGTGATGGTGTGTCGCAGACCTATCATAAATAAAGTAAAGTATCCTTCATTAGCGCTTCATCACTTTAACACTTGACAATAACTAGCATGTACTACCAAGTTTTTCTTAATTATAGGTAAGTTGGAGCCAGTTATATGAATTCTCAGTAAAAAAAATTTAATGCTAGAAATACTTAAGATTAATTTCCTACTAATTATATCTAAATTTCTGACAAGACTTAAAAACTCTTCGCAAACACTGGACCTAAAGTAAACATACTAACATGACAAAATTAAAGATTAAGTTACCTTATCTTCTCCGAACTTGATCCAGAATCTAGCCTGAGCCCTTTCATGAGGATCCTTTGGTAGCAAAGGATTCTGAGGCCATGTCTCTTCGATGTATTCAAGGATGACTATTGACTCTGCTATTGGTTTTCCAGCATGTACAAGAACAGGAATCATCTTATAGATAGGATTGTATGTCAAAAGATCATGGCTCTTGTTCGTAAGATCTTCCTCTATGTATTCATAATTGATACCCTTGTGTTTCAGAGCCCAAATTACCCTATAACTGTAGGGACTTGGAAAAGCTCCTAGCAGTTTCACTTGGTCTTCCATTTTTTTTTTCTTCAGTTGAAGCTAATACAAGTTGTACGTAATTGTTTGCAAATTTCAAGACTCAACTTATTGCCATTGGTAATTTATCTTGACGCTTGCGTCGGACTTTGAAATTTCGACCACATGTTAGAATTTTTTATGTGAGCACATAGGTCAATTAGTAACGATTTAACTATTTCTACCAAGTTGAATAAGACTCCTACTTAAAAAAACGAGTCAGGTGGAGTCACGATATATATATATATATATATATATATATATATATATATATATATATATATATATATATATATATAGTGATCTTTTGATGGCTACTTTTGTCTTACCTGACAAATGAGTAATTTCTCATTTATCAAGGGTCCAATGGCCACTTATTCACACACATTGGTTGATGTTATTATTCTTATGTAAATAGTGGCCTAGTGGAACAGTAACTCCTTTTTTCTTTTTTCCCTTCCAAAGACAGTTTTAGAAATGAATAAATTGTTAAGCATAACACAACAAACTTATGACCAAAAAAAAACATAACAAACTTATGTGGTAACCTTCTTGGCTTCTTCTTCTTCTTCTTTATATAATGTAATTGGCGTTCTCCACAAATTTTGAATTGTGAAAATGGGACAAAGGGGTAAATAAACGGTCCCCAAATAGAAAAATTAAATATACAAAGTGGATAAAACCATCCTTCAGAGTTCAGACTTAAAGGAAACAAATATTCCATCCATTCCATTACACGACCATATTTTTTTAAAAAAATTATTATTATTATTATTATTAGAGGGAGAGAATAGGAAAGCGGAGAGGATTACAAGGCGAAAAATTAAGGTGAAAGTTTGGTAGCTATTTAATTAGATGTAGCGCCCCGAAAAAGTCTCGAAATGTTATAAGGTCATTAAGAGGTTCGACGTGTGTTAATTATATTAATTTATATGCGAGTATTAATTAATGACATAAAAAAATATCTCATGAATATGATAACAAATGTACAAGATGTATTTGAAGTGATATAGGGCCTAGGGAGAGCACTTGGGACAAGTTGAGTTGGAAATTACATGACAAACTAGAGTTTCAAATGAACATGCATAAGATCTAACTTTAGATGAGCATATCTCAATATATATAAGTATTTATGTGGAGAACAACCTATCAAATGAAAGATCTTCGAGTCTAGTTTCTAAAGCTTCAAACCGTTCGTCATTTGAACACTTCTACAAAATGTTATGGTCAAATTATCTAAGGCTTGCAGTGAAGTACTGCCATAGCGTCCGGGTCCGCGTCCGGGCTTGGAGGAAGAGTAAGCTGGGGATGCGAAGCATTCAGGGCAGCATCCGAAACCTAAATATCTGGGTTTATAAGTACGAGGTCGGAGAGAAAGATTATTGTAAGCTTTTGGGGTTAGGGTTCTTGAGGTCAAGAGGCGATTTTAAGCTCAATCAAGTCCAACCAACTAAGGTAAGTTGTTAATGATATTTTGGGTTGATTCTTATTCATTATACATGAATTCTAATATCATTATTACATACAAATACTAGATTTCATCAGCAAATGTTTAAGAACACAAAAATTACTAAAGTTGTGATTTTTCAAGATTGATTTACAAGAGGTTATTCTAATGCTTCAAACTCATTTATTATGAATAGTTAGAAGTATTTGTAGCATTTGTTACAAGTTTTAATTGCTGAAAAATTAGATTATAAAACTTTAGTTCATGACATGAATAATATTTTTGAGAAAATGAGAGAAAAGATGAATAATATTCTTAAAAATAAAATTTATGAATACAATGAACCTACAAAAATGTTTGTTAGTAAAAGTTGGAACTGGTCATCTAAGTAATCATCCGAATTGTATATTTTGAAAGTCTTGATTAAGGAAAACGCTGAATAGTAACTTGATGGCATTGGATAATTGTTGTAGTATCATTAATGACTTTGAGTGGGTATTAAATTATAAGATAGAAGTTGAATAGTCTAGTTTGTGAACCTATTAGACAATTTTAGTTGTTGGAGGCTTGTAGTCGACTTACGAGACGTAAAATGGATATTGATCAATACGTTGGATTATATTTTGATGTTATTAGGATATCTAATTGTAGATATCGACTTGTTGGTGATATTTGAGAATTTTAATCCACATTGGGCAAAAAATGAGACTTTCCTAGATGTAGTAAGGCAGAACTGGATAGCTGATTTTATAGGGAACCCTTTCTTAATGTTTAAGCAGAAGTTGAAAAGAGTCAAAATTACTCTTTCAAAGTGGAGCAAACTAACTTATGGAGACATTTTCAAACAATTGGCAATTAGAGAGGATGTGGTGAGAATCAAAGAGATGTTATTTGAAGAAGATCCACCAATAGCAAACAGAATAGTTCTTCAACAGGCCCAGACAGAATTGAAGAAATATTTAAACATTGAAGAATAATACTGGAAGCAGAAAGCAGGCATGAGCTGGTTTGAGGAAAGGGACATGAATACTAGGTTCTTTCATAATCATGTTAATGGCAAGAGACAAAAGTTGCAGCTGAAGAGAATTCAGGGAGCAGATGGTACATAGATTGAATCTCAAGAGGTAATGTCTAATGCTGCAGTGGAGTTCTTTGAGAAGCAATTCACTAAGGAGGGAGATCCTACTAGTTTTGAACTACTGAACAATGTTCCTACAATGGTGACAAGGGAGCAAAATTTGGAACTGTGTAGACTACCTACTAGAGAAGAAGTAAAGGCAGCAGTGTTTGCATTGAGCAGTGAAAGTGCAAGTGGTCCGGATGGTTTTTCAGGTTTGTTTTTTTGAATCATGCTGGAATATAGTAGGGGAGGATATACACAAAAAGCTGATCTTATTCTTTGAGGGTAGTCTACTTCAAAATCAGTCACACATACAAATCTTGTGTTACTGCCCAAAAAACCAAGAGTTCAAACTTTTTCAGATCTGAGACCTATAAGCTTGAGTAATTTTATTAATAAAGTGTTCTCAAGAGTTGTGCATGATAGGCTGGAAAAGATATTACCTTCCTTGATCTCCCCAAACCAATCAGGTTTTGTCAAGGGCAGGAGTATTTTTGAGAATATTTTGTTAACTCAAGAGATTGTTACTGACATCAGGTTGAGAGGGAAACCTGCTAATGTGATGATTAAGCTAGACATAGCAAAGGCTTATGATAGGGTCTCATGGAAGTTTTTGTTGCATGTATTAAGGAGGATGGGATTCGCTGAATGTTTTATTAATATGGTCTGGAATTTGATCTCTAATAACTGGTATTTAGTCATGGTTAATGGGCAGACATCAGGGTTCCTTCACTCAACTAGGGAGGTAAAGCAAGGAGATCCTCTTTCACCAGCCTTATTTATCCTATCAACTGAAGTATTGTCAAGATCTTTGAATAAACTGTTTGAAGATAGACAATTTAGGGGTTTTGGAATGCCTAAATGGACCGATCCTTTGAATCATCTAGCCTATGCTGATGATACCATCATATTTGCTTCTGCAGATCCTTACTCATTACAGAGAATAGTGGATGTTTTGGTACAGTATGAGCAAATTTCTGGGCAATTGATCAACAAGGCCAAGAGTTCATACTACATACATGCCAAAGTGTCAGGTATTTTGACAAATGCTGTGAGTAACATCACAGGTTTCTCAAAGGGGGAGTTTCCTTTTACCTATTTGGGGTGTCCAATCTTCTATACAAGAAGGAGAAAGGATTACTACAATGATATAATTCAGAAAGTGAAGGCCAAATTACACTCTTGGAAAGGGAAATTGTTATCATATGGAGGGAAAGCAACATTAATCTCCAGTGTGCTACAAACTATGCCAACACATATACTCTCAGTACTGGATCCACCTGCCAATGTGTTGGAACATTTGCATAAAACATTTGCAAGGTTCTTCTGGAGTAATAAGGAAGAGGGAAGGAGAAGGCATTAGACAAGGTGGCAGAACTTATGTCTCCATGAGGAGGAAGGAGGGGTAGGTTTTAGATCTCTGATAGATGTATCAAAGGCACTATTTGCTAAATTGTGGTGGAGGTTTAGAACTACCAAATCTCTTTGGTCCAACTTTATGTGGAATAAGTACTGCAAGAAAGAGATTCCAACAGTAGTACAATTCAGAAAAGGATCACATGTTTGGAGAAAAATGTTAGAAGCAAGGGAGGAAGTAGAACATGAGATATTATGGGAGATGAAAAGGGGATCTACTAATGTGTGATGAGAACTGGACAGGATTAGGAGCATTATATCATGTTGTACCACCAAAATTTCCCATTAATGAATAGTTACAAGAAGTGGCTGAGTTGAGAGAGGAGGAGCAATGGAACGATCAACTTCTGGACCAGAATTTCCCTCAAGACATAGCAGTCATATTAGAGGAGAGGTGCACTTTGATGATACAACTGATTGTTGGGACGCACCAAGATGGATGCCTACAACTTCAGGTAAATTCACTGTTAGTAGTGCTTGGAGAATCCTAAGGCACAGGGAACAAATCAATCCGGAATTTGCTAAAATATGGACCAAAGGGTTGCCTTTCAAAATTTCTTTCTTCTTGTGGAGGGTTTGGAAAGGAAAGGAACCTACTGATGATTTATGGAGGAGATGGGGTCATATGGTAGTGTCTAGATATTGGTGTTGTATAGCACCACAGGAAGATTCTTTTCAACACTTATTTTTGACAAGTGAAACAACAACTATGGTGTGAAGGATATTCATGCAAGCTGCAGGTTTGGGGATAAATTTGGTACAAGTTCATCAGGTAGTAAGGCATGGTGGTATGCAAAATGTTGTCCTAAATTAAAAACTTTGTTTCAGGCAGCCCCAGTAGTAATTTTATGGGAACTTTGGAAGAGGAGGAATACAATGAAGCATGGGGGAACAGTATCCTGTAGTAGAGTGATTCATGAAGTGAATAAAACATTATATTATCTTGCAAGAGTTAGATATCCTTGGTTGCCTAGCATCCCTCTTGTGACGACCCAACCCGTCGTCTCATATATTACAGCCCCGTTTTCCCCATTTATTGCTCTTTCATGTTTTATTATCATCAACGGGTGAGTTAGAGTTAAACTGAATTGATTTGGATAGG